AAAAGGTTTTCGAATTTTCTCCGCAAAGTTACTTAAGCATTAGACCTAATAGAGTTGCAAATCAACACTGACCCACCCACTATTCTCCTCCAGAGGCGTTCCTTCAAATAGTGAGCATAAAAGTTTTCCTTCGTCTCGCACTTCTTCCACATGGCGAACATCTGGTTTTGTTGGCTTCGTAGACAGGTGCGTAGTATTCGCAATTCGATGTCCAGTACTTGGTGACTGTCCTCTGGTAGACCGCATACGTCGTGTAATCGTCTTCGTCCTCGAAGTTCGGGACGACTCGGTGTTTTAGATAGCGGCAGAGAAAGTTTATTGACTGTTGAGCTAAGACGATCTTTTGTTTTAGTGACAGCGCTGCTTTTACAAGTCGGAAGTATCGTGCTGGTACGTCTCGTAATAAATCCCACGACCGCCTTTCTATTAACCTCGGCATTGATCAAGTAATTCTTCGTATTCTTGTTGAGCAAAGAGGAAGGAAGGAGGATTTTACTCTTTATTCACGAACAAGCTGACAGTTCCGCGGATTTCGCCTTCTTCAGAGCCTGGAAAGGTCACATTGAGATGCGATCTACTAAGCCAAACACGTTCATAACCCTAGCAGATAAAGCTTAACGAATAAATTTGTATTCGCATAAGAAACAGCTTCATTTAAACACCTACCGTTTATTTGTTGTAAGTATTTAAGTTAGTTGGTGGATAGCAGCCGCAGAGACTAATACACGGGCAATGACTGTGTCTGTGTCAGGTCATTGAATTAGCCTGAGGTATAGCGCCAAGTCACGCGTGATGACAGGACACTCCTCCTTGAGGTTCACTTTTGAATTTCTGGAATTGATCCAAAACGCTTCGAGAGTTTTACGCGCTAATGCTTTCGATTCCTGCGTAAGGATAGTGACTCCTACTTCAAAATCTTCTCCGTTGTGTTCCTGCATCGTATGCGCACCTAGTGGAGTGTTTGGTTTTAATTTAGCTTTACCGACTAGGTGTTCTTTTATGCGGACGCGGAGGGGTCTGCCCGTTTCGCCAACGTATTCGTTCCTGCTCGTCTTACACGAGATCAGAGAGACTGTACCCGAACTCATGCAATCACCGTCTCCACCGTTAAGGCAAATTATGCAATTTTGCACTGCACATAGATGGTCATATAGGCGGTTACGAATTAGCTGGCGCCTAAGATTACTCGGTGGCATTTCAATTACGTTTACCGAATTCTCTAGACCCGCCCTTCTTAAGCAGCGTTTTATAGCTGCACTTACATCATTTGGGATGAAGAGTAGGATAAACGGGACCTTTCACTGCTAGAGTTGTCGTTTGGGGGCCCAGGATTTTCCCCACAACTGTTCCGCGCTACAGTTTCGTAGCCATTAGAAATGGCTATTTGCCGTCTATAGGTTTCATTTATGTGGACGCAGAGTGGTCTACCCGTTTCGCCAACGATTCGTCTCCGCACGTTTTACAAGAGATAAACTCTAGTCAGTAAATATAAATTAAAACAAAACACTCCACTTGGCGCGCACAGGATGCAGGAACACAACGGAGATTTTGAAGTAGGAGTCACTATCCTCACGCAGGAATCGACAACATCAACGCGTAAAACTCTTAAAGCGTTTTGGATCAATTCCAAAAATTCAAAAATGAACCGCAAGGAGGAGTGTCTTGTCATCACGCGTGACCTGGCGCCATACCTCAGGCTAACCCAATGACCTGACACAGACAGAGTTATCGCCCATGTATTACTCTGTGCGGCTGCTATCCACCAACTAACTTAAATACTTACAACAAATAAACGGTAGGTGTTTGAATAAAGCTGTTTTTTATGCGAATACAAATTTATTTGTAAAGTTTTATCTGGTGGGGTTATGAAAGTGTTTGGCTGAGTAGATCGCATCTCAATTTGACCTTTCCAGGCTCTGAAGAAGGGGAAACCGCCGAAACGTCGGCTATTGTATCCTACTAAATTCTATAATAACAACCTCGTGTCTGCTTATTGAAGAAAACATCGAATTATCAATCAGTGCCGAGGTTAAGAGGAAGTCGGCTTTGGGGATTTTTTGTTTTGTTCTTTTTCTCAAAGAGACCGACCATCACACAGTGCCCGGAACTCAGCACTCATGTGTCCGATCCATTTCCTCACATCGATCACCTGCGAAGGTTTTCAGGTTTTGCGTGTGGGTTAACTGTTGCTTAAAAATTTCAGTTTTTTAATGAATGGCTCGGGATGGTGGTCAAGTGGATTGTCCTTCTTATGTATGAAATAAATTTTTTTTTTTAATAAAAACTTCACAACGGCGAAAGTGGTCTTCATTCCTTGACTAAGCCAAAAGAAAATGCGAATTTTGGTGGCAACGGATTGTTTTACATGTGTTTTTGAAGGTGCATTAAAATTAGTTTGCAGTGGCATTTGAAGGCATTGTTGTCGTTGGTTCAAACCCTACCCGCATCCGATTTCAGCGCTCTGAATGCGGAGTGTGGTCTACGAAGTGAAATGCATTGTCAATCCAAAATGAAACTATATCCAACAATAAAGGATAACTGTGATTTTTACTAAAAGGCTCAAGAACATCTGTACAGCAGTGGTTAGAGGGCTCTGCAAAGGCACTTGGTCGATCGCTAGCTCTATTCTGGAGCCAGGACTCGCCATGCCTTTCATCCCTCCGGTGTGGACGGGATGCTACCACGCTCATCTAGAAAGGTAAAACATTTGCTTTTAAGTCGATTGGTCACTCTAAGTCATTGTGCAAACGATGTGCATTGAATTACTTTTTACGATGCTCAATGAAGTCGTGACTATGGCACACTCCTCATGGCCTGATCAACACCGAATGCCTTATCCTTTTTTTATTATTACAAAGGTTAACGTGCCCATCCACAGTACCATTAATCATTGGGCAGTTTGAACCTGCACCATTAAATCCTCGATTTATTCCTCTCGCCATACCCAATCGGCTCTGGTTGTTCAAGAGGGACACAGAGGTGCATCACAATTTTGCCGCAATGGCCTTTGTTTTTACCATTTCTTTTAATTCTTTCCCTTTTTCTTCTAATTTTCTTGAGTTTGTCGACTGCTGTTGAGTAAACTCTTTGGATCTGGTGAACCTACATTGAGTGATGAAAAGTTTTTCACTCAGCTCAGACGCTGTTCATGCATGGCCATTGGACTCGAGAAGAAGCTTCTAAACTTCATTCGAATATTTAGGTCTTACAACTGAATGAGATCAAGAAATTCAGGTGATTATTCATTTAATTGTTAGCTTCTTACTTTTCTACTCGTTATCGTCAAGAGACAACTTGTTCTTCTTCCGACTTAATCGAGCTATCCAAGCCGCTGAAATCTCATTACACGATTGCCTCTTGAACGGCTAAATGGGTAAAAGTGGGACTGCGAATTCATCCGCCGCCGTTCATGCTTATTCGGTTAATTCACCAATTTTGTCTTTCTTATCCTCCAGAAACATAACCACGGTTTCTTCGATGGTTGTAAGAATAGAGATTAGGGTTCGATCTCAACCTTAATGCCTCTTTATATTTCGTTCTTTGGTGAGTGTCATAAAATTTCACAATCCGATAGCGCGTAATAGCTCATGGTCCTTCGCTCATCATTTTTATTACTGAAAATTTATGTTTCCCATTACTATTTGCTCGGGTAGTAAGAAAATATGTTCGAATATTTATGGATTTCGTATGATAGCCGTCTAATCCACAACGATGCCATAGTTCTTTCCACATGGAATATTGGAATTCTTCACTTTTCATGGATTTCATAAACACGGTTAGACCTCAGTATAAGGTGAAAGTTAAGAAGAAAGAAAACTGTATTCATGAAAACTGAATTAAAATAGCGCGGTGGCAAATTTGTAGAAGCAAATCGAGAGCGTTCTATTGACCACAATTGGAATTAGATTCGCATATAGAGATTCGCTCATTCGTCTATTGAGCAGGGGTTAACATGCAATATCAGATAGAAAGCGCGTGCAGTAACCTGTAATACACACATTATCCTTGGTTCGATTCCGCGAACTATGCTGACCAAGCCTTTCATCCTTCCGAGATCGCAAATTTGGTAACAGACCCGTTGGGAGAATGAAAGCAACAACTTAATACGTTGTTAGGTTCCGGAAGTCACTGCACAGGCCAAATAAGCATTGACTCTATAACGCCACGAGTGAAATTGAATGCACGGCACGCTTTAAAGCGATTAAGCAACGCCAAACACTTTATGCTTTTTATTTGATTCAATGGTATTCAACTAGTGGCTTTTCTGCAGAGAGTAACCGAACACTGGAAAGCTCGTCTATGGTCAATAGTGTGATTTTGCTATGATCCCATCTGCTGGACGTGTCGTGTTGGCTGCGCATTTCCAACATCGTGCTCATCTAATGGGAGCCGCTCACGAGACGTTTAGTAGTAAACTGCTTATTTTCAGTAATTGCATCTGCTCGAGCATGTGCCTGGACCACTCACGAAATAGGTGGAAGAAGTTCTAAGGAAATTGCCTAGGAATGAGTCTTCTCTTCATCTTCATTTTCCTAAAAGTATTCCGAACTTTACATGGAGTAGTACAACGAAACGAAAGGTTTGCTATTCCTAGCGTTACAAAATGTTAGTCATCACAGTTTATGTACACCTTAAACACAACGCTCAACACATAAATTTGGTGGTTGCCGTATGGAATGAAGGCAAAGTCCATGTTGGTTACGGGCTCCGTTCAACTCGTTCGCGATCTAGACTCATCGTTCCCAGCAAATGGTGAACGATAGTGGCTTTTTGATAGCAAAAAATATGTTTTCGATAATCAGAAAACAAAAAAGATGAAAACTCAGCGGCGTTACGGACTTTTCTCTTTGCTCTAGCGGTACACAACTATTTTTTATAGTCAACGGATGGTCATATCAACAACAATCGCAACAAAAAAGCACTGAAGAGTGAGCATGCCTCATTCGTGCAGTGTTCACTGAAGGAGATCCGTGTCGGTACGACTACGAAGACGCTAGATCAAGATGACAAACAACTTTGGGCCACTGATTCGTGTCATCGGCTCCGATGAAGACGAAAACGTCGTAACGTTAACCGAATAAACCTTATTTTCCAACTCGTGTAAGCTCAGCACATGTTGATTATTTGCTATATGTTGCTGTGATCGACCATATGGCAACATTGCTCCCTTATAAGCTAAATAAATCACTGGAAAGGCACTTGCCCACTCTGACTTCCTTCCTTTGCCCATCCCTCTGCACACGCATGTGGCACATCCACATCATCTCAGACGTTATGTATTGAACATAACAGAAACCTATTTAGCTATTTAGTCTCATTGCGTTACTTATTTCATCACTAAAATCGTCCTTAAGGTCGACATACAATACGACATTGATCAGTTACACTACCAAGCTGCTAAATACCATTTTATTGAATCAGGACAAGAAATTCCGGCCAATAAATTCCGGTGAGACATTTTTGAGTAAAAGGGAACACTTCATAACCTCACAATCAATTTTGTGCCCACGTGTTATAATTTTCTGAACCTCGACAATAGACTTTTCACTTAATTTCTCGTAGATTTGTGCATGTTTGTTTTCCTACGCTTCATTCAGGCAGATATTTGTTTCAGATGCTTCTCCGGTAAGAGTTGAGATCGACATCAGCGTTCGTAGTATGGGCCCAATCTCTGAGCGAGACATGGTAAGTGGGTGCTTCCAATTCGTATTGGGTTTGATCCTAATGAGGAGTTCACTTCCAGACCTCGTAAAGGTGACCCAGGTCAAGTGGTCTTCTTCGTGTCTGGTTCTTCTGGATTTTTTCATTTGAAATTCGAGAAATGGAGAATACTGGCTTGTTTAGCAATGGACCGTAGGAATAACATGCTATCAAGATAGTTTCGTTCCTACCTCATGCCTCAAATTTGGGGTGGGATATTTTCTGTGCCTTTCTTCTAGCAGTGCACTCAATGAAGAGATCGCGATGATTTGAAAATTAGTCTAGTGAGAGTAAAAATCAAGCCCGGTGGGAATATAGAAGCAACTTTTGAGAAGACCGAATGTCTTTCACTTCTTACAATACTAATATTATTTCAGCAGTAACCAATGAGTAAATATTAATTTTGCTTACCATAATGACAACAAAAGGTAGAATAGATTGATAGATGTTCCTTAAAGGTTAAAGTATCACTTCTTAATGCATAGAGGAGCTAGAGCGTTTACACCTTGTTAAAGAAGCTGGCTAACGATCAGCTCTGGACCTCTATTCGCTTTTAATCATGGCCGTTGTAAAAATTATAAATGATTCCTCAAAAAATTGGTCTGCGGTGAAACCACAATGGTTGCAAAGAAAGGGTGCGAGGACAGAAATAGGGGACCATTCGCATCTAAATATGCAAGGCATTGTTAGAGAAGTAGCATAGATTTAACGGAACGAAATAATTAAAAGTAGATTAAGTTTTTGTAAATGTTTGTGTTTAAAACGGGATGGATATCTCACCAAAGAAACAACTGACTTCCATTAAAACTAAGAATGATGTGTACTCTGTGTTTAGACTTAGACCCAATTTTGTTCAACCGTCATTGACTTCGCTTAGGAATTCTCCCTCGACTGTTATTTTCGACAAAAATGGCTTGATCAGCGATTGGCATTCACGCCAATAAATCCGAACAAGCCGGTGATGCCACTGGCCAGCAAGATGCTCAAGGATATCTGGGTATGTGTTTTGGAACCTCCAGTCCTTCAGGGACTTAGAAATGGTGGCATGACCGCTCGAAAACAGAAAAAATGACATCGGACATTAAAAGAGCTGTGTTCTAATCCGAATATTGGTTCGTTTTTAGAAAGCAAAGGAAAAACCACAGGAATGGTCATAAAATTTAAGTTTAAGGAAGAGAAGTAGTCGAAATTGTATCAGTTTTGTGCGCCCACCCAAAATTGAAAGCTACTGAACGTTGTCTCTTGCAACTGTCCATGTCAGACTGAGAAGGGACAAGAGCTCATACATGGTCCTGCTGTCTTTTATATCTTACGGCTTTATTTAAACGCCTGCCACAAACTGCTCGACACTTTGTCCACTTCAGTTTTTTCATGGATTTTTGAATAAATTGGGGGAAAATGTCTGCCTATTCTTTTTGGTGGCAAAAAGTCGATAGAACTAGCTGAGAGACATGCGAAACGAAGGACCCGCATGGTGTGGTGGTGAGCGCGTTACTCCCCGGAAAGGAAAATAGCACGTTCGTTCCCCATCGCAGACACCTGCGTTTAGGAGTTTTGCAAATATCTCAGGATTATAGAAAATGCCTACTTTTCAAATTCCCATGGAATTCCAGCGTTCCTTCAACTTCTTTCTATAATCCCATAAAATTTGTCTGTGTATCCATATTATAGGAAGTTCCTTTCAGGTGCCCGACACATATATCAGAAACGGGCGGAAATCTTATTTACATACCCTAACGGTGCCGAATGTTCTTTTCAGAGTGCGGTCCGATGGGGAGGTTCATGTCTCACAAAGGTTCGTAAAAGTTCAGTTTCAAGTTCGTTTAGGATAGAGGATAAAAGGGATATTATATTATCCATATTGTGTCCATAAATTTTGACATTGTTATGGAGCTCTTCACTAGAACATTAAGGAACGTCTTCTAAATCGGATTTATTCACCGTTCACATTCCTAGCATTAAATTCTAACTTTTCAAGTCTTCCAGATAAGCAATAAATATTTGATCACATATTTAGCTGTAATAAAGCTGAATATACCGAGAATAATTCCTAACCTAATTTGCTTCGGAATAAGCACATATCAGTGAATCGTCTTAGTATCTAGTCTTTGGGTAAGGAAAAATGATTCAGAAGTGATGTTGTCGTTTTTAGGCTAACCATCCGCACAAAATGTCCGATGTTTCTCAGGAAGTTTCCAATGGACGTTCAGGTAAAAATTTTCCAAAAAAAAAGAAAAGAAAAGAAAAGAAAAAGCAGCGATGTCATCACCTCATCGCCCCATGTTGACTGGGCTTTTTCATAGCTAATTTCTCGTATAATTACACTTACAATGTAGATGATAGACAAAAGAAAAACAAAAAGGATAAGACGAAGCAAATAATGATCCAGCAAAATAGCCTATGGAGTTATCCAGTTCATTACGAGCAATTAAGATGGCGATAATAGCAGGAAAAAGGCGATGAATTGTTCAGAATGCCTGCCAACGTGGCGTGTTTTAGGGTGATTTGCAAGGGAGAAAACTATGGTAGGGCAACTTCGCCTTACTCTGAAACCTTTGCAGAATGACTCAATAAGAATTTAAAGCGAAACCAGAGCGCTTCGAGTGATGAGTGCTGTTGAAGTCTGAATCTTCGTTATGATCATTCATGCCTAGAACTTGCTTGATTTTCGTTGGGAAGAAATTTTCCTTGAAGCTAAGAACTACACGGCTTCGATGCTGACTCGAATAGAACATCAACACGAAATTACGTGAAGCACCGGAACTAAATAATTACTCATATCATTGTAGCTCCGTTATTATTATATGACTTTTTACCAGTTTTTCTAATCATTAGCAGTAGGTTTGCTTAGCATCAAGATTTGCTAATTTTGAAAGGAGCTTGTTTCGTTCTTTGTTACTTTTTATTCGCTGCCTACTATAATTTTCATAGTGATGCGAAAAACAATCACAATGATGCTAAGATATTTGCAAAACTCTGGACCGCAGGTGTCTATGGTGGGGAACGAACGCGCTATTACCATTTCCGGGAGCTAACGCGTTCACCACCACACCATGTGGGTCTTTCGTTTCGCATGCCCCTCCGCTAATCATGAGGCACTTAAGAAATTCCGGGAAACAATTCAGTTAACCAAAAAGAAACGAAGACTGGTAGGATCCTAACAAGATGTAGTCCTAAGCGCAGTTAAGAGGGTTGAGGAAGGTAAAAGGTAATATGTTAAAGTGGCACCACTGGCAACGAAAATAAACGTCAAAGGAACGCAGATTTTTGCTTTAGGCGTGTCCGATAGAAATCGGGTCACTTGGTTACTTCACGAATGACGTCACCTACAAATGGAAAGACGTCGAACTGGACGAGAAAATGGGCAATATGCTGTCGCAGTACAAGATTTTGAATCTGTTCAAAACCGAACACAATATCAGCGATTATCAGCAGACTGATAAGAGTAAGAGTGTTTTTTCAAAATTATTAAAAATCTGCTCCGCTCCCAATAAGCGGAAAAGAGGTTTTGCCGAGTCCTATTCGCCAGTCTACTTTTGAGTTCGCTTTTAAAAAAAAATAAAGGAGAAACCTCACGGCGTTGATCAATCCATGAGGGAAGCACCATACGTTTAACTTCATTAGGCATCGTTTGGAGGAGATCAAATAATTCACCTTTTTCTTTGATGAGCAAACACGAGGTTCCCGTTTTTCCGTTGGGTTTTTTCGCAAAAAACCAACGTTTTGGCGGATTCTGCCTTTTTTAGAGCCTGGAATGGCGAAGTTGACTGCAATCTAGTTGCCCAGAAACCACAATAACGAAAACAGTAATTACGCAAGACCAAGATTTCACTCGCATTGAGAACGAAACAGCTTCTTCATTCAAGCAAAGCTTTGTATATATCTACCACTGTGTCTGTCACGTGGAGACGAACCACGCAGAGTTCACATGGAAGTATATTGAGCCCTTCTCCCATTAATTCCATTAAAATATCAACGTAAAATGCTATGTGAGATCATGCGTGACAACGGACATTCCTCTCTGTGGTTCATTTTTGGTTCTTGGAGTTTGTCCACAATGCTTTGAGAGTTTTGCGCAGAAGTTGTCAATTCCTGTGCCAGGATGGTAACCTATACTTCGAAAGCTTTTACACTATACTTCTCTGCTTTATACCTGCTAAGCGGACTACTAAGTTCAACTTAATTTTACTGATTAAGTGTTCTTTTACACGGACGCAGAGTGGTCTGCTCATTTGGCCAATGTATTGGTCTCCACACGCTTTACAGGAGAATCGGCACCCCGTATCCGAATTCATACTACCACCATCTCTATCGTTGTGGCAAACTAACAGCAATTTTGCGTTATGCATACGCGCTCATACAGACAGATGCTGCCGTCTGAGAGTGTTCAGTGATGCTTCAATCACTGTTACCAAATTGTCTAGATTGCAGTTTGGAAGCGTGGTTTTACCTCTACAGCTATCCTGGGAATATAAAGTTTCGTAACCATTGGAAGTGGCTATTTTTTGCCCCAGTTTCGGGGATTCCTTCTTTTGCTCTATTCCTGTGCACGCACTGGTGGCTGCTCAAAACATGCTCCTTTCGAGAGCCCTTTATATGTGCAGGGACTGAGAGGAGAACTAATGAGCCAGCAGGTTTTATGATTTCGATTTCAGCACCAGTTGATGTAACCGTTTTGGACAGGTTAATTTTAACGTTAAGAAATGGATGCCATTTTTTTTCGATTTTTCCCAGGTAAACTTAATATACTTTATCTATTAATATATCCGTTCATTCAACGACTTGAAGCATTTGTCCATCTCTTCCTGTGTGGAGCAGGTGCAAAACTGTCGTCGATATACCTACAGTACAGTTTGGCGGAAACCGAGTACGGGGGCTTCAACTATAGACATGGATGCAATGGCAAGACTTGGTGCCAGTCGTTCCATTGCCAACACTCAATTGCGCCCAACACTTTTCAGACCATCTAAAGATTAAGTCGTTTAGACACGCTCTAAGGAAGGCCATGAGCCGCTGAATTGGGAAGCCATAAATGCTTATTGCTTCTTCCGGTTGCGTACAGAGTTTAAGGATGGCTTTCAAAACGAAGTCATTCGACAACTTTGTACATAAGGAGGTAACCTCGAGGAACGCCATCATTCGTGCCCTATTAGGATTTTACTAAGTGCATAAGTATTCATGTTAAAAACCACGCTATTCAATCTGTTGGCCCGTATATACAGCTATTGATATGTCTAGCACTGAATAACGATGGATCGGTGGACACAAGATCATCACTAGTTACCAATTTATGAGTTTTTATGAGTACGGGATATGTTGGCAATTCAACTTTGAGTTGTGAGATAACTGATGGCTTTAGACCAGAAGCCATTTTGACCCATTCGTTACCAAATTTTTGGTATTGCCCCTTGAACTCCTTCTCAGATGATAGGAGATAAGAGAAATCATCTTTAAGATGCTCTTTCATTATCCCAACATCTAACTGATGAGGGATTACTTTAAATTTTCCACCCGTTTCACTATGTGATTGTCTGATTCTCTTTAACCTTAGCAGTTCCCCTACCTCCCGCACACAACATTTCTGCACTTCTGTGAAGTTGGAGCAAAATCTCGTGTGATAGGGATTAAGGACTTTGAATGTTTCGTTCGCAAATATCTGAAACTTCGTATCAACCTTATTATTGGGGTCTTGTTGTTTAAACGACAATTGTAGAACCGGCCGGTGTGGTAATGCCTCTACTTATTATCGTTCGTTCCATTTTAGTGCTACAACTGTAGCTGTGTTACAGAGTCCATCTTCAAGATCAGGGAAACTACATGCAAGCCCACACACAAAAGGTGTTAAATCCTATATAAAACCATGAAAACACTAGGTATAGAAAACAGTATTCGGTTACTGAAGCATCAATATTGGAGAAGTGATTAGTGGAGGTAATTCTGTGTATATATGGGCGCTTGTGGCGCAGTGGTCGCAAGTGCTCTACGTCACACAGGTGAGATCGATCCCAGCGCCCCTGGCCCATCAAGCCCTCCATTCCTTCGGGATCGGCAAATTGGTACTCAACCTGTCTGGTAGGATAGAAGCACTGGCTCGATACATCGGTTGGCTATTGCCATTATAAAAGCCAGTCATGTATTCAATCACTTGCAAATGATGCTTAGTGAAGTCGACGCAAGGCGCATCCCTCCAGCATCGATCAACGCCGAGAGCTTCATCTACTTATCCTTTTAATCCTGTGTACCTGCGATTAGAAGATGATTATAAACATAGAATTTTGCTTTTTTGTACTTAAATTCAATAACGCAGAAAGCTGGAGAAAGATGGGTAAAGCTGGATATTCGGAAATTTCATTTAAAAGCTTTTTCATGGTCGATTTAAAAAGCAGAAAAAATAAGAAATGAAACTGTGCCAAAAGAAATAAAGCTGTATAGCTTGTCATGCTGAAACAACTACTTGGACCTTCATGAACACCTGCTGGTGAGATGGTTCCAAGTGAAACCAATGAAAAAACTTCGACAATTTTTTCAAATGCATCCGTTTCATCGAGCATCACTCGTGGCGTAGTGGTTAGAGAGGCTCTGCAATAAACATGGGTTAGATCCTTCGCTCTGGCTCACCACGTCGTTGTTCCCTGTTAAATCGGAGAATTGATACTAGATCTATCTGCAAAGATGGCAACACTGAATCGATACATCTGTGGGGCACCGCGAGTCGTTATGTACGCCAGATCTGTATTCAGTAATCGCTAACCAAGCTTGATTAAGTCGCACTGCATGAATGCACGGTGCATCCCTCTGGCAATGGTAAACACTAAGAGCTTTATCCCTTTTTTTAATATTCGTCCACATGTTTTTTCAGATATCTCCATTCTAAGGGTGTACTTCAAGCTACAACGTCAACAAGGTTACTACGTGCTACAGATCTACACTCCATGCACTTTATTAGTGGTGATGTCGTGGGTGTCGTTTTGGATCAACAAAGAAGCATCACCGGCACGAGTCGCACTGGGTTAGAGTTTTTATTCATCATCGCACCTTTCCGGATCATTGATTGTTCTTAGGAATTATGACTGTACTGTCCATGTCCACGTTAGGATTCGGGTTGCGCACCGATCTACCAAAGGTGTCGCATTCGACCGCCCTTGACATCTACATATTGTGAGTTTCTTCTACGAAAATATTTCAGACGTTATGGTTTTCATTTCTAGAGGAACATATTATGAGAACATGTCGCACACTAGTAAAGACCACTTTTTTCCATATTTGTTTATTACTTCATCACCTAGTTGAAGGAGTTATTTCAATGAAGGGAGATTGCTAAATAGTGGATATGTTGATAACCCTTTCTCTTTTTTGGATATTTCTGAGCAACACTCATGTATCATTTTTAAATTACCTTCTAAACTTCAATGGTCGTAGTTTGGTACTCAGTACCAGATTTTTTGTCACTTGTCAGCAACATCTGTTATGCGCTAACTCCGCATTTATCATCAGTAGTTTCTCCTCATGGCCCACAATGTCTTCATATTTCAATTCTAATACGGTTGTGAGGAAATCTAACCATCAATCATCATAATCTTCGAATGAGCTTTGTTCTCGCATACGGTTTATTTAGTGGTAGATTCGTAGTGGATTTTGTCCTTTTGTGCTGGATAGAACTCATCATATATGTATACACGTCGAAGTTTTTACTTGTTTATTCTGAGAACTAAATTTCGACTATGGAGCACAACAAATCGAATCCCTGTTTAGCACTTTCTCTGTTTGGCTATGGAGGTGTTTAGCCGGTTAGATTGCCGTCAACATCACGGTTCCAGGCTCTGAAGAAGGGATATCCGCCGAAATGTCAGCTTCATAGCAATAAAGAGTAAAACACCACCTGGTGTCTGGAGATATGTTACTGGTGCTTCCACTTTAGACGTAAACACAATGGCAAGGCTTGGGGACAGTCCATGTCGCATTGTCAACCCTCTAATTTGAGCGTAGTACTTTTCTGGCCATCTGAAGATTGAACAGTTTGGTCCCATATTACTATTTAAAAACTAACGTTAGTGATGAGTTTAATCAAAATATCCAGTACCAAGTTGCGTGCCACAAAAGACAAGGGGAAGCGATTCTATTTCTTGACGATGGAAGACAGTTGGATGGAACGATTTCTGGCTCCATAAAGCATCGGCTAATTGATAGTAATTGATAATACATCAGTAGGTAAAGGAAAATACTAACTACTTGTACATCGAGGAGCTACCATGAAACAAAAGCTACTTGCAAATGCGTTGGCAGCGAACTTAGAAATGAAACCCTATTGTGGTGTCGGTGTTACTGTGGAATTCTTCGATCCTAATTTATTATTTACTTTCACTTATTTTAACCGGACCAACCTTGTTCATCGTTAGAAACAAGTTAGGAGTATTTGTCAAAACAAGGAGCTAAAATGTGAAGAAGTGGGCCACTTGTATCACAAAGCACATGTGGTAACCTGAACAAGAATTACCAAAATTTCTATTTCTATGTACTGTGCATCAGAGTTCCTTCAGGGGTACCATTCGCTCCAGAAGGAAGGAAAACCTTACACTTTTGCTATGACCTTCTCTACTTGTATTGCTCGCGGCGAAACGACTGTCCTCTGGTTTCTGTTGTGGTCATAAAGCTTACTCTTAATTGACATTCACGATAGAAAAGTCTAGCAAATTCTGATCTTATGAGACCCTGTTATGGTGCAAATCCAACACTGCACACCGCAGTTCCATAACCGAAATAACTTCCATTCACGATAAGGTGGTGTACTTGTAAAGTTAAAAGGTACATAAGCGAAACAGAAGATGGAAAACCGCATTGCCCTGTTCTAAAAATACTTTTTGTTCTTAAAATGCACAAATCTCAGCTTTTAGCACACTTTTTTGATCAAAGTAGAATTCACTGGATCCTACACATCTATGTGATAGAGATACAAGTTTACATCTTGGCATAATTCCAAGTTACTGAAACCTTGAATGATCTGAAAGCATCATCAACTGCAGTTTGACCCTTGAAGATTCTCGCTTGTAAACAGTTCTAAAGACGCTTGGAAAATAGAAATCTGTTAGCAAAACGACTGCTAAATATGGTGAGCATGGCAAAGTTTTACTTTTTGCGCTTCAGTTATCCTAATTTTATTTTGGCTCTGTTTCCGAATGTCATCGTGCAAAAGAAATGGTCCGTTTCGATCGAACAAACATCTAATTGTGGCCGATAAAGCATTTTTCTCTGATTTCCTGACAATATCTCTCTGCTATAATGACTTCTCCAGGACTGAGGAAATTAGTGAGGGCGATTCCATTTCCCGAGTATAAAGAGTCATCATGTCGTTCTTCTGATTCAAATTTAGATTTTGGAAGAGTTTTGGTGCCTTATCTTCTTCCAACACAATGCCGAACACAATCGACCGTGGTATAGGTTCCATTCTTCAACGGCTCTTAGGTTCTTACAGCAATCAAGAAATGGTGGGATTACTCATACTGTTCCATTGAAGCATGGAGCAGATTTCGTAACAACGGTTTCTATTTCGATCAAGTAATGTGGTGTCCATTCGCTCCGTTTTTTCTTTAGGTTTCCAGTGCAACTGATGTATTCTGAAAGCGCTTTTGTGCATGGCTAGTCTGTCATCGAAAACTCGAACTTTTTATGGATAGGCTTTTGTCGACATCTTCAAATCGTCATCGTCGGTGAATGTGGGTTATCTCCGACCCTGTTCGCCTTCTAAGCTCTTCTTTTTACTTCAGAGTCTATAAAACCAACTTCCTACTTTGCCATCGTGACTGGTTCATTGGCTTGTTTCAACGTTATTATTGCGATCTGCATCAATGCATTGGTGCCAAGTTTGAATTCGTGCAAAAAATGCTGTACTTTGCTTCTGTCAGTCCAATGGCTTAAACTCAACTGAAAATGAAAAATTTCTATATATAAGCACAATTCACTAATTTATCTATCTATATGACGCGACCTTACATACTGTGCTAATTCCGTTCCGGTTCGTCTCCGCATTTCTCGATCTTGGCAGTTTGTCTTTTTTATGGATATAATTGACGGCTGGTTGAGCTCGATCTTTCAGGAATACCGGAACGACTCCACTTTAAATTCCGGATATTTTCACCAATGAGACAGTGAGGTATGGTAGGCTCCGAGCCGGACGAAACCGGCGACCATTAGTGTTCCATTGCGCGGCATTTCTAACGGGGACTTAGCTCTTCCATATCATGCAGATAATTTGAATGCGATAAATATATACAGCATTTAAATTATCTCTTAAGTTATGTCGATTATAACGGCTTCAATGATCGAGTAACTAGAGTGGGCCCTGTTTAAAGTTGCTTCGTCTCCGTCGACTTTACTAGTGGGCTTACAAGGGCTCCGCTTGCTCAAGAGAATGGATTTTTTCACAATACCATTTGGTTTCACATAAAATGATGATAAGTTATATCAATCTTCGTTTTAAAGATGTGCAAAAGTTTGAAGAAACAAAGCAGACGGTATTTGTCGAAGAGCCCTGTTGAAAAGTGAAAGAGGTTAGAAGTAGAGTTGAAAAATTTGGATCGATTTCATTACGCTCGGATTCTTCAACGGCCTTACCGGCTCAGTTTCATTTGTATTTCTTCTTCTTATGCTGGTCGTCCTTCACACTTGCTGTGCGTATCCCAGTACCTTTTGCACTTGATTCGTTTCCTTGCATCCATCATCCACGAAGGTCTTCTAACTTTTTACGTGTGAATTCGACTGCTACTTGAGGATTTTCTTTTCATTATGAATGTCGTTGAGTGCTGGTCGAGTCGATTCTCACCGATGTCCTGAGATAACCGGGATAGAGCGTCCCTATTTGGATTCCAGAGTAGATTTCCCCAGAAAAGTGTGGTACCAATTTCTTCACCTCGAAGAGATTGGTGAGCCCAGAGCGGGATCGAACCAGGACTGTGCTCACGATGGTTGGCAACACTGCCAATGTGCTGCCCGTTCTTTATTTGTATTTTTATACCGTACATATTTAATTGAAGTCTTGAATACAAAATTTGTACTTTCCGTTTTCATGAAACCGCAGGGAACTCCTTTGAGAAGTTACGGAATGGTTGGTTTAAATGTTGACCCGTTCACGAACATTTTTCATACCCACGAATGACCGTCTATTTTCCTCGGCATTGATCGAACAACTCTTTATATTCTCGTTTAGCAAACAAAAGGTGTTATTTCATTTCCTTATTTACGCACAAGCTAACGTTTCGGCGGATTTCGCTTTCCTCAGAGCGTGGAAAGGTCAGGTTGACCGCAATCTACCCAGCCAAACACCTCCATAACCAAAGAGAGTAAATGCTAAACCAAGATTTCAATCACATTGAACGCAGAATAGCTTCATTGCACGCTCACCGCTTTCTATAAGTCTTCCACCGAATATGTCACGTGGAGACCAACCGCACAGAATTCACATGGTATCGTAATGTGCCCATCTCGTCAGAATAATGGGCTTATATACTGCTCAATATCACGCGTAATAATGAGGCATTCCTCCCTGCGGCTCATTTTCGGATTCTTGGAATTAATCCGGAATCCCTCGAGAGTTTTGCGCGCTGGCAGGTTTGCAAACGAGCTATTCTGTGTTCAATGTGATAGAAACCTTGGTTTAGCATTTTCTCTGTTTAGTTATGGAAGCGGTTGGCCGGGTAGATTGCGGTCAATTTGGCCTTTCCAGACTCTAAGGAAGACTAATGTCAGACTGTGCGTATATAAAGAAATAAAATAACACCTCGTGTTTGCTAAGCAGAAATATAAAGGAATTTTCATACCGTCGAGTTTTTTTCAAACATTATAGAGAGGTAAGATTCCATCAAAAGCTCACAAGCATCTTTACAGGAGTTGTTTCGGTTTCGTGTTCGCAGCGATGGTCGAGTATGCTGTTATAAACTACGCACAAATAGTTTATATTCGAAAGCAAGTGCACGATCTGAAGGGATTGGAGTCAAATCGGGCGGTGAGATGCTCCTCAGAATGAAGTTAATCACTTGATTGATTTTGATTTGGGCTTGTACAAAATGGGCAACGTTTGTCTGTTATGTGTCCATACGTGTCTCCATGTGTCCATTCGTAGATGTGTGTGCATGTCTGTCTCGCTTTGATGTGTGGGCTCGAAGAGTTTTCATGCAAACTAAGTGCAAAAGAAAAACTAAGAACGCAAATAACCTTTGGCGCTAAAAGAATCTTCGAATTCTTTTCTATTCCTCAGTTCATCCACGATTTCAGTCAGTTACTTCAGAAATGCTCATGTCGTTTAGATGGAAAAAATGCGAATGTTTACTGCCGGATTGATGGGAGCTCGACGTGAAAGCATGCAGGTGTGTGGGATTTAAGATGCCTTTCTTCTGAAGTCTTCTATCAATTCTTCTCACAGATGAATGATCTGGCCCTTGTCGAGGAAGAGGCTGAGGATCGACCATGGTATTCATGCTTCCTACGAAAAAAAGCTCCCAAAACTTCGTCCAGTGCGTTTTTTTTTCTTCGTCGAGGCGTTGTGAAAACATTGCCCATTCATATTAAGGGATATGAATTTTACTATGACAAGTTTGAATCACCAGATCGAAAAACTTTTCACTTTCAATTCTGTGTTGGCATAGTTGGATGCACCACTGATGATTTCTGACTTCATTGTGGTACGGAGAATTTCTTTGGTGTCGAGTTGAAATCTTTAACAAGAGTTCATCACCCAGTTAGACACTTAAACTATGAAGAATCTGACATTAATATCCTCACTAACTACGAATCCCATCTCATTGGGACACTCTCAGTGTCTGGCTTCATGTGGACCGTTGGTCATATTCAGTTAAAAACCGATTGTTGTGAGATTCAAAGTTCCTTGAGATACAGTTTCCTAATAAATAAGGCAGAAGATCGGTTATTGTTAAGCAAAAGAAATGTGAGGGTGTGAATTTCTAGGCGTTCTCACTTGAATGCAGCCAACGCTTTAAATGACGGTAGAACAACGAAACAAGTGGTAAGAGTATAAAAGGAGTTCATAACCTCATCGTCTTCGTTGCAAAAGATGCAAGCAGTCACAATGTGCCATAGAGATCGACATGAAATCTCAAAGCTCATCTTACTTTAACTCAGTTGTCGACTGCAAGAGAAACAATTGGATTTCCCCTAATAACAATTTAAATAGCGTTTCTGAGAAACGGTTTTACATAATGGGAAGTGACATGAACGACAAAATATTACTGCTTACAAAAAGTCTTACCAAGCAGTCTCATCTTCCGGAAAGTCTGTCCCAAAATCCGGAGCTTTCTTTTCTTTTCTTTAAACAATCACGAGCGGTTTATGGTAGTGAATCTCTTTTTAAGAGTTCCTTGTTCATGCTGAAATTCTTTAGGTAAGTTTTTTCTCAGATACACATATAATGGTTTAATTGGTCTCTCGATAAAAGTAACGGTGAGACTTCTGTGATTACACCAGTAATTTCTTAGCCTTGTACTTATAATCTTCTGTCTTGTTGTATATAGATAACCCATCATTTTGTTTTATACGAGAAACTACAAAACATTCACAGAGCAAAGTGCTGTCGTAGGCTTTTGCTGAAAATTTTGAAAGCGCTGTGCCAGTGGCCCCAACGGTTTACCTCTCATCGTGGCTGGGAGGTGTTCCTGGGTGTTGGGCTGCGATGTGCAGCGGAGGCATTCGTCTCCCCGGCACAGTCTCCAAGCTGAGAAGGAGTCCGGCGTTCCCATAAAGAAGCCCAGCTAAGAGCAATGCACTAGTAGGATCCACCACTGTCCTAGTGTCAAACTATTCGCTCGGTGGCAAATCTCCCTCTGATCCACAAGGCCAGCAACTGCCTGTGGTGGTGGTGACCTGAAGCAGGCTTTGGCCAGGCTGACCTCAGGACTCTAGAGAAACATAATGGCTAAACTAGCAAAACTCCGAAAAATGGAGAATATGCTGGAGCCCGCACAACCAATGAGGACGGGCCGCACGGTAGGTATAGCGGTGGAGTTTCCTATCTCCGCGGTAGCACTTTCCTTCGGTACCAAAATAGACGACAATTTAGCAAAGTTATTCTATTCAAAGGAAGCCATGTCAGCAAGTTAAGAGCGACCATAAGATGGTAGAATACTTTTGGGTTTCAGCAGGATTGCTTGCCGTCTAATTATTAGCGATTTTTTTCAAATCATGATTCCTCAGCTCTCACAGTTAGCGTCTTCTTGCATATTTTGGCTAAGCAGCACAAACACGTTGAATTAAAATGTTGGATGACTCATATGATCTCTTTTCGTATATTCTTTTATTACAGTGTTCTATCGAATGGCGGTCAAAGCGGCAAAAGCTAAGAAAAAACTGAAGATGAGAGATCCTGCTAAGGTTCAGTTTACTATTAATCAAAAACAAATAGATCACTCGTATGAAATGATGAGATATTTGCAAAACTCCGGACCGCAGGTGTATGCAGTGGGGAGCGATATTTCGCAACATACCCTGCCATTAAGAAGAAAAAGGAAGTAAATAAAAAGGTTAAGAATAGATCACTGTTTACCAGAATCGGTAACGTGAGGAACGTTCCATTTTTTCTACTATTAAAGCTAAAAAAAATAAGCCACTTACTTTTCGAAAGTTAGAAAGAAAGCCAAAGTGAGAGGAAGGAAAAGGATCGATAGAGACGAAAACCACGACGGAATGGTTGTGAACGTGTGGTGGTCAGAGGAACGGAAGAAAAGGGAAAAGAACTAATCAACTTTTAAGCAGAGTGGGATAATGGTTAAACTAAGAGATTCATGAAAAAGCTTTTGACGACAAACAGACGGCTCAGTAAAAGTGGCACCAACACGGAGGGTCTCTGAAGAAAAACAGAGAGCGAAAAAAATTGACAAACTGTAATAAGAGAAAGACCTGGGAGATTTAGGCAGACGATAGTAACTTAAAGAAGTGAAGTCAAAATAAAACCTCGTTTAAACCAGAAAGACCTTTGAGTCAGTCTTTTCTCAATTCTCGTAGTTCTCTAAAATATCCTGGCGCTATTTTCGTGGATGAACATCAATTATTCAGGGCGGAAAGCAGAAAAGTTTCAGGTTGTGAATCGCATAGACAACGTCTCGAAGGTGATTTTTCCTTCTCTCTACGTGGCGTTCAATGTGGTGTACTGGATTGCGTTCCTGTACTGGATACCCGATGAGATCGATCAAATCCTAGAATTACCTGAAAAAGCAACCTATACTTAACCCAGTTCACGAATTCTGTTTTTTCTTCCTTCTAGGCACATGCAGTGGAAACTATACCCAATTTCGTGCTTGTTTGCTTTTTCTTTTCAACGTCACATGTGGAAACCTAATTGAAGACCATTGACCAGTTGTATTGTTAGCTTTTTTTGAAATATAAAAGCATTCGAGGATAGCTCTCTTGAATGATAACAAGACGTTAAGTTAAATGAGCAACCACTTTTTAGCCAAGCTGTTCAAGAATGACTCCACTAATAGTGAACTTTAAAAGTGTACAGCTCTATTCTGTTTGTTGCTGGTGAGGTCAATGAGAGTGTTAGTTTTCGTGAATTCAGTACATGAATGCCTCTCTTGGCGAATTGCACGAATTCTCCTCGTTCCCCTCCGAACTGCCGCCTATGGAGGTGATTTATGAGGCGTATTATGATGTCGCATGAAGTTATTTCGTAATATACAACTATACGAATGCTGAGATATGAACAAAACCCGAATCATAAGATTCTATTCGAACCCGCGATTGACCCTTTCAGAGGGCTCACTTACTTTCCACCGCACCAATCGAGGCTTTTGCTTCGTCTTTCTCTCAGCCATGGTTTTTGCTCTATCGGTGCTACCAACAATCGGAAACCCTTCGGCGGAAACTTCGTGTAGTACTCCACCATGAAAGGAGGAATTTGTAGTACAGAGAAGTTAAGACATTGTATTTCTAACAGAGCTTTAGCTTAACCAGATTCAATGCCGATTTGTGTTTCCCAGATCATTGCCGTTGACATATAACTTCTGTAATGCTGAGATATTTGCAAAACTCCTGATCATGATCAATGGTAAGTGATCGATACAACTGGCTGAGAGACAGGAGACACGAAGGGCACACATGATGCGGTGGTGAACGCGTTACTCCCCGGAAAGGACAATAGTGCGTTCGTTCCCCATCGCAAGCACCTGCGGTCCAGAGTTTCGCAAATATCTCAGCATTATAGAAGTTTTCGTTTCGGTTTTATACGCCAGAATGGAAGGAAGGATCTTCTAAAGGATTTGACTCTTGTCCTATAATGTTGAATACGTTGTTTTCCATTAACCATCCCTTGCATGTCGCTTGAGAATCTGTTCTGAAAAAGTTTGCACGGAGTGGGATTTGAACCCACGCACCCTTACGAGTACCAGAATGCCCAACCGCTACCGCACGGCAAGTGAAACCTTGAGTCTGGCGCCTTAGACCACTCGGCCATCCGTGCACGCAGGTTTTACTCTTCGCTGCAGCCAAACCTTTATAATTTCCAGCTAAATATTGGTAATTACTTTTCATCAACCACCTATTCTTTTTCATTGCAGGGTATGATGTGAAATATAACTAAAATAATACTGAAATATTTGCGAAGCACTAAGGACGGCATGTATCTGCGGTGGAGATCGAACTCGACACTATGTTCTCTGGGGGCTAATGTGTTCACCACCGTAGACTGACGAGTAATTGTTGATAGAACCTACAAGCTAAAACATGGCTGAGAGATAGGCAAAACAGAGGGTCCGCATGGTGTGTTGGTGAACACGTGAGTTCCCGGAAAGTTCCCGAGACATATTCGCAATTATATCTCGCGAATATCCGTTTGTATAATTTTGTTGTTTGTTTGATGCAAATTTCTGTTCCCTTCGATTACCTGTTTTGTGACTTACGACCTTGTTCTAAAGGAAGGCCTTGATTGTTCGAGCGAATAATGAGCTTCAGAAGGTTGCATTCAAGGAACTAAAATACCATGCAAAGGTGAACACCACTGACACAGCTAAGAAAAAGTTCGTCTAGTAGCTACGAAACTTTTTGTCAGCCAAGATCCTCATGATCAGCTTCGCACGCAATATGTAAGGGTTTTAGTTCATCCTGTGCTGCATCATTGTAGCTGTTTGCCGATTTTACTATTTACAGGGCAACCAAACGTTTGTCCCTTCGTATCCCAGGACAACTCCACTGTGGAAAAATGACCCCGTCCTAATTTTCGAATAACGTGGTACCTATGTTATATTTACGAGATAATAGCCTCCACGTCTATAATCGCGAGAGTCTTCCTGCTCTTCAGCATCTGATCGCATGGCTTCATCTTGTTCGACAGGTTCTCATTCTCAATTAAACTGCTCGATGTCCTGTAGATTCGTTACACTGACTCATAGACCAATTACTGTACCTTTCAATAGGTTTATAATCTTGGTATACCACTCGTTTAGATCATGATCGGGTGTTGTCATAATAGCTTTCTGGGGCAAAAACGGAACTTGATAACAACAGTCGTCAGTCTTTGAGTTTTTCAAATAGTTGTTATTGTCAGGTATGATGTCAAGTGAGAATGGGGCAATAGCGGTGAAAGAAGGAGTTTTGGAACCAGACGGTGAAGAACAGGAAGACGCCTATCAGATATATCGTACTTGAACTCATGCAGCCACCGTCCCCTGCCATAAGGGCAAATTACTCAATTTTGTGTTTCACAGGAACGGTCGTATAGGCGGTTACGAACTAATTGACGACAAAGAGTATCCGGTCGTATTTCTGCTATCGCCACCGACTCCTGCTCTTCTCAAACACCGTTTTGCAGCTACACTTACTTCATTGCTAATAAAGAGAGCATAAACGGGATTTTTTTTTGGTCAATTATTTCTTTTTGGGGTAACCCTCTCCTTCAAATCATTGTACGAGCCGTCCAAGTACCCAAGTATCCAAGTAAGAGCTATCGATGTTTCTCCCTCAGCATCTTTTAGGCAACATTTTATACCCACATTTATTTCGTTTGAAATGAAGGGATGAACAAACGGGGGCTAATTCTCGCTAAAATTATCGCTTAGGGTGGGGGGGGGGGGGGGGGGGTGTTATCGCTCTCGATCAACCCCGAGGAGCTACAGCTTTACAGCCATACTAAATAGCTATTTTTCGCTCCGTTGTCGGGGGTTCTTCCCTCTGTTCCCTTCTTGTGCATATATTGATGAAGGTTTAAACATATTTTTTACAAGCGCTCTTTCTATGCGCGAGGGGTGAGAGAAGAGGGAGTGAACCAATATGTCTAGTTTCTGTACACTTAGTGGTGCAGTCGTTTCCGTATAGTGGTGTTTCCGCGTCAAAAGCTTAAAAGTGGAAGTCAGTTGTCTTTCATCTTCTTTCTGGTGAATTTTTGCACTCTAGTTGTCTGTCAAGCGACTCAACACATTGGTAGCTCCTTATTTGCTGCGTACTACAGTTCCTCACGGAAGGGTGTGATGCGAAATACAACCACAATGATGCTGAGATATTAGGTTGTAACATATAAAATGTTCGATTTTAAGGGTGAACTTTAAAAAGCTATACCTTTTCTCATAGCAAATTTTATTAATCGAAATAAGCACTATTCGAATCAGCACATTTTTTGCGACAGGAATCAAATTTATTTAATCCATTTGCATAAAATTCTGGAGTTCTGCAAACGATGAATTCGTTGTAGACACTTTTCGCGTCATCGTGGTCGGTGAAGCAGTTCTCGCGCAGGAAGGTGTCAAAGTGATTGAAGAAGTGATAGTCGGTAGGCGAGAAGTCTGATGAATATGGCTGATGAGGCAAAGTTTCGTAGCCCAACTTGTTCAACTTCTGCAGCGCTGGTTCCGCAACGCGATGCCGAGCGTTGTCGCGCAGAAGGATTGCTATTTTTCTGTTGACTAGTGCCAATCGTTGTTGTTGGAGTTGACGGTGCATTTCATCGATTTGTTGGCAATACTTCTCTGTCGTAATCGTTTTGCTCGGATTCAAAAAGCTGTGATGAGTCAACCTGGCTGCAGACCACCAGACAGTCGCCTTAACCTTTTTTTGGTGCAATTTTGACTTTGGGAAGTGTAGTGGAGCCTGATGGCAATCTACCCATTGAGCTAAACGTCGCCAGTTGTCGTACAAAAGGGTCGTTTTTGTTGTGGAGAATAAGAGCAGATGACAATTCAAAATGGCGATTTTTTAAAATTATCGTTTAATTCGTGCGGCACCCACACGACCAGTTTTTTTCGTCTTTCCTGTGCGTTTAAAGTGAGTGGAAGCTGTTCCTGTGCTTACTCCAGGCTGTTCTGCAAGATCTCGAACAGCTGTTCGCGTGTTTGCTTCCACCTGTGCTTTGAATTCGTCGTCGTCAGGTTAACTGAGACATCCACGGCCTTCCTTAACTTCGAGGTCGAAATCACCAGGTCGGAATCTCCGGAACCATGTTCGCACTGTTGATTCACCAACACTACCTTCCTCCCAAAACATGATATTCCGAGCTCCTGCCGTGGCAATGTGTCCACTCTTCCACTCGTACAAGATAAAGGACACGTATATCACGTTGACTCATACTAAAGTTAAGGCCTATAAAAATGTTAAAATAATGAGTCGTAAGGAAAACCTAATACTAGGAATAGAAAGAGCATGTTCTTTATAACTATATATTATACTACATTAATAGTATACTATATACTATAATATATATTATACTATATAGTATATATAGTATAGTATATATTATACTATATACTATATTAATATATATATATATATTATACATAAATAAAAAACAATATTTTTACCTAAAAACTTCACGGAAAATTAAAACAATAAAATCGGACAACTCATATGTTACGGCGTATTATTTGCAAAACTCCGGACCGCAGATGCCTGCAGTGGGGAACGAACGCGCTATTGTCCTTTCCAGGCAGCAACGCGTTGACCACCATAGCGGGTCCTTCGTTTCGCCTATCTCTCAGCTAGTTCTACAAAATATCTCAGTGTCATTTTTGATGTATGAGCTAAACGTCGCCAGTTGTCGTACAGAATCCACTTCTCGTCTCATGTAGATGTATTTTGCAACTAAACAGTTTTTCACCTCCTCTTCGTTTAGCGGATGACAAAATACGTGTCGCTATATCTGTAGAAAGCTCTGTACCTACAGATATTCCTAATTTTCTTCATGCTTCGTTGTTTCAACGTCCTCGCTTTGGGTAATTAATTAGTGATGGTGATGGTGACGGTC